TTTTGTACGTAATGATAATGTTTTCTTGAAGTCAAAAAAGCTAACTTTACACGGATAACTTTAAGTCAATGAAATACCATAAACGAAATAAATCATGGCTTTACACGGATAACTTTAAGTCAATGAAATACCATAAACGAAATAAATCATGAGTCCATACCCAAACAGATTGCTCAAATATGAAACGGAAAGATCATATTCATGCTGTGTGTCTGTTACACTTATGCAAGCACTTTCTTTCCTCGTTGTACTAATCTCAAGACTTTTGGGTAAAAGATGTTGAAAGTAGAATCATGAACCATATCGAATGCACATCGATAGTAATTATATGAACATCAATGGGAGAAAATAATCGCCAAAAAAATTGTAAAATCAAGCGAATTTAAGATGATTTGGGTGAGACAACTTCTTCGTTCATGAAATCTGGTCATTCCCATGTTAACAAGTGCTTATTATGCTTATCTAATTCCAACTAGTTCAATTTTCAAATATTGATCATACATGATACAAGAAAAATTAAGTGTTTTCAAAATTATGAACTTTTTTTCTTGATTTATTTCTTAATAAACGAAGGCTTAAAGCGGTCAACAGAATTCAACGTTCTTGGTGATATAAAAAAAAGTTTAAAATAAATGTGTCAATATAGTTTAGGGTTTTTTGTTGCTTTTTATCAATTAAAAAAGCCAGAATTCTTTTCCATTTTCCTTCAAGAACATCATCTCTTAGCAAAATAAAAATCGTTGGAAGCCTTCTATTATTCGGCTCCATTATTCCATCGACTCTTCTATTAACTTTAGACCAGCTCTATCTCCATGATGACTTTTCTTTGACAAAAGCTAGAGGTGGTCAGTGATCCTAATTTGGACAAAAAACACAGCCACCTTCAAATCAACTAAACGTGCAGATAGGGTAAGACTAACTTCTTTTGTACGAAATGATAATGTTTTCTAGAAGTCAAAAAAGCTGGCTTTACACGGATAACTTTAAGTCAATGTAATACCATAAACGAAGTAAATCATGAGTTCAGACCCAAACAGATTGCCCAAATATGAAACGGAAAGATCATATTCGTATCTTGTGCCTTGTGCTTGTTACACTCATGCAAGCACTTTCTTTCCTCGTTTTACTAATCTCAAGACTTTTGGGTAAAAGATGTTGAAAGTAGAATCATGAACCAAATCGAATGCACACCAATAGTAATTATATGAACATCAATGGGAGAAAATAATTGCCAAAAGATTGTAAAATCAAGCGAATTTAAGATGAATTGGGTGAGACAACTTCTTTGCTCATGAAATCCAGTCATTCCCATGTTAACAAGTGCTTATTATGCTTATCTAATTCCAACTAGTTCAATTTTCAAATATTGAGCATGCATGATACAAGAAAAATTAAGTGTTTTCAAAATTATGAACCTTCTTTCTTGATTTATTTCTTAATAAACGAAGGCTTAAAGCGATCAACAGAATTCAACGTGCCATTATGTCAAAAAGTGGGAGGCATCCCCATGCATGACAAATACATCGTGGGGCACTACCACGTGAGATTTCCAGCAATTTTATTGACAGTCAACCTTCTTGGAAACAAAAGCCAATCTTCAAATCTTCAGATTGCATTATTTCTATTGCAAATCACGGAAAGGCTACAACGTGCGCAACGCTTTCGAGTCTCTTCCCATGATGTTCCAAATTGCGCGTTCCAACATCACGCGCGAATTATATGGTTTTTGTCTTTTATCAATTGGTCAACAAAACTTGACATCTAATTAGTAAAATTTTCTCTAATCTAAACAGATTAAACCTTGAAGCAGAAAATTCATAATTTCTTCTGAAATTTGTTAATTTTGCTAGAACCACTGATGATGAAACAAGCTAACTATATTTAATTTCGTCCCTAATACTCTTTTTTTTTTCCGTGAAGAACAATATCAAATCCGTCCTCTATCTATGAGTATGAGCTGATGCATTTAACTGATCAACATTACCTATTATGCTATATTTTCCATTAGTAAAATTTAATTTCTTAATTTTTCCTTGTATACTAATGGTCCAGGTTTTATTTTCTTCCTGTTAAGTGATTAAATATCAAGGGTCAAACTTCTTTGAAACTAAAATAACCAAATATCTTCATTAACGGGAATCTCGAAAAGACATTATATGATCTTTAGATCATGTAAACCAAACTCACCATCAACAACGGTCCAAATGATAATCTTAATCCATATAGTCTATAGATCATGCAATTAGACATGGCCACGGGCCGGTTTCGGCCCGGGTCAAGCCCGGGACCGGCCCGTTGACTGGACCCGCGGTTCGGAACTGGCCCGTGGCCTACGGGCCTATTTCTGGGCCCGGTTCCAAAAAAAAAAAACTGAACATAAGTGGAGAAACTCTTTTTTTCCCCAAATTTGATTACAATGTATATTTTGATTACATTTTATATTGAATAATTCATTATTTCATAATTTGATAATTCATTATTTTTTTATTTCATAATTTATTTTTTTAATTTTTACCGGCCGATTCCGAACTGGGCGGGAACCGGAACCGACCCGGAACCGCCGGTTCATACATGGCCACGAACCGGAACCGCCAGTTCCGAACCGTGGCCATGTCTGCTTGCAATATCAGTTCGGGAATTCCATATCCCGATGTGTACATACTTTTCATCAACATTGTGTATTATCTTCATGAAAAAAATATATAGACCCCAAGGCGTTCGGGTTTTTCTAAGGACAAAAAGTAATATCAAACACATTTTAATCTCTTCCTTTAAACTGAAAAGGAGAAAATGTGACGAATCCTTTGTGTTCTCAAGCAGTTGATTTGCAATTTTTTGTAGGTTCTCCCGTTGATGATCTGAACAAGAATTCAGGTAGGTCTCAGTGATGATAATGGGAAAACAAATAGTAGAGAACTGGTCAACCATCAAGACAATGCATCTAGTTCAGTTTGGTTTTACACGCAGGAAAGATTAAACATTCTTAGAAAAACAAATAAGAACATCACTATCAACTGAGGGAAACTGCCCAAACAAAGAAATTGCTGCCACTATGAATGACTCCTAATGTGTTCACGTGTTACAGCAATAAAAATCCCACGATAGCCCAAATGAGAAGGCAGAGTAGAAGAATATGGCGGAAATGAAAGAGACAAATGCTCGAAATATTCTAGCTTACAGTGGCCCTCTACATGCGAAACATCTTGGAAAATAAGGCAAAACGGCCATCCCATCGGAAGTCCATCCCACGATATCAAGATGTGCCGCTTAGCAGTCTCTTGTTAGCATTCCAAGTTGCCTGTCTTCGAATCAGAAGCAGAAGGGGTCCTGCTGTGATTAAGTTGGCGAGCCCGAGAAACCAAGACTTGACCAGAAGCAAGTGACCCACACATGTTCACAAGGCTTCAATGAAGCTGATCTGAATGGAAATCATACAGGTCTACAAGCATCTTCAAATAACTTAAATTAGGCTCGTTGGGGGCTCAGTGTTTGCTTGAGAGCAACAAACCGATGCATGTAAAGCAGAAAAAGAAAATGCAGCCTTTCACCATGGTTCATTATCCTCTTTTCCTTTGAGATTATGTCAGCTCCAATGTTTGGAAATGAAACTCATTTACCCCATTCACACCATTATCTGACAGTGAGACTTGATGCCCAAGGTTTAATAATGCAACGAGAGCTTTTAAAGAATAAATGCGTAGAGCTTATAAGTGAAATCAGTTCTGTTCACCCAGGACTTGATGATTGCGAGGCTAGCTCAGTAAATTGATCGACAATGTGATCGCTGTGATCCAAACAAACTGAGAAGCTCAGCATAATCGAAGGGGTCTCTCCATCGAAGCGTCAGAGCTTATATTGGAAGCGAGTTTTCTTCACCTAGGACCTGATAATTGCAAGGCTGATAGCTAAGTAATTTCGTCAACAATCTGCTTGCTGTGGCTGGAAGGAACTGAGAAGCTGTAACTTGAGCTACCTATACCAAACAAATCCCTCCAAGCATTTAACTACTGCAGACATGGAAGGTCTCTTACTAAAATCATCTTGCAAGCACCATGCTGATCTAATCATCCGTGGTTGCCCCAACATATTTCAGCACACAAAAGCAATGAAAAGCAAGAATGCGCACTGGTTTTACTCATCTCCGAGCGTCTCTCAGGCATTTAATCAAACACTTGTTGTGTGCGGCTTCAAATCACCACATTGTGTGCGCCAAGCCAATATATCCCACGGTTTTGTTCGAACTGGTGGAGTCGTTCGGTACGAAACAGCACGCGGAAGCACAGGCCGGACTCGGAGGAGCAACATCGAAGAAGTAGTCCTGGGGACGCGACTCATGGTCCGGCGCCGGAGCGAAATTACTTGCGCTGCTGCTCATGGCGTCCGCCAATCGTCGTTCTCGGTCGACTCCGATGATCCTTTGCTTGCTCACTTCACATTTGCGCGCTTGCAATTTTATAGCTTTTGCATTCGAAGCCATGTCCGAATGCGATGGATATGAGCTCGAAGCCATTGTCAATTATATGTCTGTGTCTGGTTCAAAAGAGCGAAGTGATTCGGTTTTTTCCGCCAATTTGATGCTCTGCATTTTTTCTTCCTCGCGTGGAGCTGGTGCTTTGAAGATAAAGAAGATGCAGCCAATATGAAGTCAAGAATCAATTCTAACGTTAGTGTCGTCGGCAACTTCGCCGTCGTCGCCGCTTATTCAGGAACCTCCTCCTTGGCTTGAGAGTAGATGGATGCAAGTTAAGGCATTTTTCCTAACTCAAAAGGTCTTCCCATCTCTGTGATGTCTTCACTTAATTGTTGATATTTTGCTTGAGAAGATGATTAAAATGTCTCTTTTGATACACATGCTATGACTAGAGCAACAGTAGCGTCTCCAGGAGTTCGATTGTGTTTTCGCATGATCGTGTGTGTCTCCCTGATTGCTAAATCATAAATTCCAAACTCGGGACTGATTCCGTTCTTGGCTGGACGAATCCCTTATTATGTTCTGAGCTTCATTCACTGAAAGTACACGACTTTTTGGCTAGTGCCTCGCACAAACCATACTCATTTCTCCTCGAGGTAATGAGTTTCCTTATCTCCACATGGTTACTTCTGTCATCGCCTGCATAACGTATAATCTGAAGGCAGAAGCTCATATAACAACTCGTTAACGGCTGCCCAGTTTTCTTACTTTGTCTGATGTTCTATTATGATCACCCGAGTAACAATGTGCTCCATACCGTGGTTTAATCTTCGCTTTGTATGGTGCCCATGGTGATTTTCTAATGGTCCAATAATGTAGATTCTGTAGTTGTAATTCAGCCACTCTAAGTTCAGGATAATCTTCATTCCTCTCTCCAACTGAGAGCAAAACCATCTTCCCTATGGAAAATCCCTTCCTTTGGCGAAACTCACATACAGCATTCTAGCCAAATTTACATATTTTTCTTCTAGAATTGAAATTATTAATGTGGTACATCTCAGAAGTTGGGTGTCGTAGGAATTTTTACTGGCGGGGTTAATTCCATTAAAAACCCCAAACTTTATGTTATATCTCAAATTTACTCCAAACTTTTTTCTATATCATAAAAAGTCGCAAACTTTCATTTTATACCCAAATTTATCCTCTATTATTTTTCCATCCAATTATACCCTTAGAATTTGATGTGTCATCTATTTGTCATTTTTTACACGTTAGCTTAGTTGAATTTCGTTTTTTTTCTCCTTCTTCCTTTTACAGCCGCCATGGACACTGTTCATCATCTTCTTCGCACATACATGCTCGGCCACGGTTCACCGGCACTCACCCATCACCACCCAGAACTCCAACGCCACCCCACGACCTTCGACAACCCCTCCACGACTGTGGGCAGTCGTCGGAATCATCTCCGGCAGTCTCAGCCGAGACCCCTATTTTCGGTTCCAGTTTTTCAAGCTTCAAGAAGGCATTTTTATTGGCCATTACCTTCGCTCAGTCATCCCCGAAGCTTTGTGGATCCATTTTGTGCCCGGGCGACGACAGAACGAGCCCAAGCTCTTCTCTCTCTCACTCTGGTGCTCTATGGTCGACCTCCATTAATGGAGGTTGCCACCAACGATTGAGGCACGCGACCTCACATTTGAGTTGATCTCTCCTCTTAAGCTGAACAAAATGGAACCAAGACTTAGTTTCGCACATTCCTTTTAGCTCTAACTCACATATTCACTTCAAAATCGTATCATTTTGCCTTCAAAACCACTGATTTCGACCATTTTCTGTAGCGACCTTGGGTTCGCCACTATACACATATTGTCCGCTTTAGACCCCACTGGGCCTCACGATTTTGTTCCACTGGGCTTCACCAGAAAACACGTATTGTAGGGCGGAGGCGTGAACGCATCGCCATGCCACTCCCAAGCCAATATATTGTCCTCTACTGGTACATACGCTTCACTGGCACAACCGCAGCTCCCTGCTGCCTCCCTCAAGGTTTTGTTTCCTTTACCCGTAGGCTCAGAATGCATATGTACATATAGAGAACCCCGAATCTTGTAAGTCAGTCCAGGACTCCCTCCTAAGTGATGTGAGACATGAGAGGCTCCCTCCTTCCCTACACATGTCCGAGGACTGAGGTGCGGATGCACCGCCATTCCTCTTTCCCGCGCACCACCGCCTGGGCTATCACATTTTCAGTCCTTAAAACTCTCAGAACTTGAACTTGTTTTTGGTAAGTCTCACTAAAATGCACCAAGACCCATCATCACGGTTTCAACCACGACGAGTCCTCAATTCCCAGAGCAAGAACAGCTAAAATGCCTTCCCTGTGATTCCACCAGTACCAAGTTCTGCTACTACAACAACTCCAACTTCTTTTAGTCGTGCCACTTTTGCAAGAGCTGCTGTGGCTACGTGACTGCCGGCGGTGCCCTCCGCAACATCCCCGTCGGACGCGGCATCCCGAAGGCCACCAGTTGATCTCATGGTTGGGTTGATGGTTGTTTGTTATGGCAGAAGTGAAAGGATAAGAAGAAAGGAAAAAAAATATAAAAAAATAATTTGGAAGATTAAAATGACGTGGAACTGACTAGTCAAATTCTAAGGGTATAACCGGATGAAAAATAACAGAGGGCAGATTTGGGAAGAAAGTGGAAGTTTGTGATTTTTTGTAAGACAAAAAATAGTTTGGAGTAGAATTTGGACATTACCTATAGTTTGGGGTTTTTAATGGAATTAGGCCTATTTATAAACAGTTGCAGATCCATCCCTGCCAGACTTCTTACTCAAATTATGGTGTTCAAAATGTTAATGAGTACATCTGACGCGTTATACATCTTGATTTAGAGAGAGGATCTTTCTTTCTTTTAGAGGAACGTTTTGCTTATTCGACAATGTGTTAGTTTACTGGGGTTGGTATAGTAAAACTTGCAGTTTACATCTCTGAGTAATATTGTGCTATCTTTGATATGAATGAGGCCTAGAAACACTTCAAACAGGACGCAGTGCTTTGTGCGTCAACCTGCTCCTTTGTTTGGAAATGAGAAAATTCATATACCGTAGTCATGACAGCAGGAAACAGTAGGGTGATTTACAAAAGGTATCTTACAAGGAAGGTTGCCTTGATGTCCATTCTGTGTTTGGATCGCAACGAGAAAGAGTGACGGAATCAAGCATTGTCTACTGCAAACTTGCTCTGCTTTGCACTTGAAAAGGGTCAACATATGCACTTCATCACTCGGCATACAGCGGTCCACATTTTTCCTCCCACATAGTACTTCTAACATGACAATGCCAAAACCGTACACGTCTACCTTTTCTGTGATGACAGAGCTTAACCACTCTGGAGCAAGGTATCCTGGTGTTCCTCGTATGGTCGTCATGACATGTATTTGGTCCTTATCTATTAGCTTCGACAACCCAAAATCAGCGAGCTTCGCATTGAAATGTTCATCCAAAAGTATATTTTGGGGTTTGATGTCTAAGTGAATTATTTTTTGATGGCATTCCTCGTGGAGATAGGCTAGTCCCTTGGCAATGTCGAGGATAATCTTTCTCCTCACTTGCCAACAGATGTCAAACTCTTGGTCTTTATGGAAGATCCACTTATCAAGAGAACCATTGGACATGTACTCGTAGACTAAGAGCCTACGTGATTTCCCAGCACAAAATCCAAGTAGTCTTACCAGATTGACATGATGTATAGTGCCAATGGTTCCGGCCTCGGCCAAAAATGACTTCTTTATTTGACCAAAACCATCGAGGCGCTTGACTGCAATCCTGACACCGCCTGTTAAAGTTCCTAGAAACACCGAGCCAAATCCTCCTTCCCCTAGCTTGGTGGTGAAATCTCGTGTCATGGCCTTCAGGTCCTCGTAAGGAAATCTAGTTATCTGAAGCTTTGGTAAGTCTAGATCATCGTTCTCGACATCATTTCTTCTCACCTTACTTGAATATAGATCCCAAATACACTTACTAAGAACATCAAAACTGCTCCAATAGTAGTCCCTAGTATTAACACAGTTCGTCCCCTTCTCTTTCTTGGAAAGATTGAGAATGGCATCGGTATGTTTGAATTATTGTTGATCTTGATAAATGCTACGGAGGGATAGTACTCGGAAGAGTAGTCCGTTAAGGGAAAACGAATCTGATAATAAATAGCAGTCCCCACCAGATATAATGGTTTGGTTACGAAATAGTGCCTTTGTGCACGAGCACCCCTTCCTCAAACACGCTTGCTTGCAACTCTCTGCAGTTGTGTTTGAGATGTCCGCGCTAATATAATCATTCCACAAAGCAAAGAAGGTGACATTCTCAACAGCTTTGAAAGTGTTATTGAGTGAATCACAAGAGATAGGTGAGCTGGGTTTGCAGCCGGAAGACGGATTTCTCTCTTCAATTTGCTTTGTCAGGCTTGGAAACTGACACTGAGGACCATATGAACAAATGCCATAACTACCGCACGCCAGTTGATAATAACAATCTGGAATTCGATCATCAGGAAGATCCACCGCATTCCATTTATTGAAGTACTCGTCATAAACATAAAGCATTAGATGCCCATCAGGCCCCAGACGGATGAACTGAGCTGATGATGTTGGGTGAAAATCAAACTCACCGAAGGTTACATTCTTGTAAAGTGCTGCAACCTGTCCACTGTCGCTCTTCATTTTGCTTACATTGCTCGTTCTGTAGTAAATTTGGGAAGAATTGGCTGCCGTTACAGACACGACAAAGCCTATGCGATCATCAGTGGTGAATGTGTAGACCCGCGCCATCTCATTTGGCAAATACGATGGCCTGGTGAGTTTCATGCCGGGACGTAGCTCCTGTCCAGGAAGAATTGTGTTCGCAGGGTGATCGAAAGACTGCCAAATGATGGCGTCATTTCTATCGTAGAGGACGAGATTTCCAACTTCAGTCAAGTTTAAGCCAACAACCGACTTGCCAGCGGTATTTGTGGACCACATTTTTTTTCCATCGTCAGCCAGTAAAACTAAATCGCCATCCTGGGTGATTAGCATTTGGGCAGTGTCGTTCATGGGTTCTCGACTGACGAACCAAACTAAGAGTGGATCGATGTTTTCCATGTCTTGTGTCGGTTGGAAAATAAACAGGCCAAAATAGCAGCTACTGTCATCGCACATGAAGCCCAAAAAGAAACTTGGTCCTGAGTTTAGCCTGGAAAGCACGACCTTGTAATAGGTATCGCCATCGGTTAGATTGAAGTCGTAAGAATTACTGGCGTTCCATGCGGCGGGAACAGTGACCGATGAAGGTCCAATCCTGAATTTGGCGAGAGTTAGCGGCGGAAGTAGTAGTAGAAGGAGGAGGAGGAGGAAGAGGCTGGGAAAAGGAGCGTGGAAACAAGAAGGGATTATCCGACCAGGGAGGACCATTGAGTTGTGTGCAAGTAAGGTCGGGTGTTTGGAGTGGCAACTAGAAGGAGGGATGCCTCTATTACTCGAGATCTGCGAATGATAATGCCTTTATAAACAAGACTCTTTCCTGTCGAAAGACTTCAAAGTTTGGAATAAGTCTATTCCTACTTCATTCCGTGAAAAATCGAGGAGGTAATAAGATGTTATTTGGAAAGTTTAAATGTAACAACGGAGAGTTAAATTTCCACGGATAGAGAGCAATTTTTTGTTGGATTTGAGGAATAAATATGGAAGAAATAAAATCGTGGGTAGCGGGATTAAGTTGATTTTTGAAATTATGCGAAATAAGTATTAACTGTTTCTTGTACTCCAAAAATAAAAATAATCAATCAATAATATTATCTTTCACCAAAATCATTTGCATTATGAACATTAATAGGCAATACTGAGTATGATAAAAGAAAATGCTAGTTAAATTAAAAAAAATTAAAATTCTTTTTAAAGTGTTGGCAAAATAAAGATCATTGCGAGTCTTATTCGGCACCTTCACTACATCGGCTCTTCTATTTACCTTAAGCTAGCTCTATCTCCATGACGACCTTTTTTACAGAAGTCGAAGATGGTCGGTGGGATCCTGATTTTGACAAAAACTTAGACAATCTTCCAATCAACCAAACGTACAGATAAGGTAAGACTAACTTGTTTTATGTGTGATGAACATGTTTTCTTGAAAGATGAAAAGGCTTAGGCTACGTTTGATCGACCGGATAAAAGCCAGGATAGGATATGTTTTATCCTATCCTGTGTTTGGTGGTGGTCCAGGATAGGATAAGGTCGGATATGGCCAGGATATAAAGATAAAAAAATCCGAGGGGGTGGATAGGCACTGGATAGGATTTCTAATGCCTATTTTTCCGAAACCCTACGCTCCACTCGCCGTCATCTTCATCCCCACACCTTGTGCGCTTTCACCAAAAAATTTCTTGGCTTTTTTCCTTCACCGACTCCTCCGGACCCGTGAATAGCAAAAAAAAAAAAATTATCCTATCCGACTTTAAATCCGTAGTCCACCAAATAATGGATAGGATATGAAGAAATCCCATGATTTTTTATCCTATCCTATCCAGTCCTATCCTATTTAGAAATCCGGACAACCAAACGCAGCCTTACTTTAGATAAATAACTCTAAATGTATGAAATACCACGGACGAAGTAAATCATGAGCCCAGACCCGAACATATCACTCAAGTATGGATCTGGAAAACCGTATTTATGCCGTGTCTTTACTCCAATAGTAATTACATGAACATCAATGGGTGAAAATGATCGCCAAAAAGATTGTAAAATCAAGCGAATACAAGATGAATTGGTTGATAAAACTTCTTTGTTCATATAATCTGTTCATTCCCATGTTGACAAGAGCTTATCATGCATATCTAATACGAACTAGTTCAATTTTCAAATATTGAGTATATGCGATACAAGAAGAATTAAGTGTATTCAAAATTATGAACTCTCTTATTCTTGATTTATTTCTTAATAAACGAAGGGTTAAGACGGTCAACAAAAATTCAACGTTCCCTCATGTCAAAAAGTGGGAGGCATCCCATGCATGACAAAGACATCGTGGGGTACTACCACGTGAGATTCCCAGCAATTTTATTGACGAAGTCAACCTTTTTGGAAGCGATGAGGACAAAAGCTAATCTTTAAATCTTCAGGTTGCGCTATTTCTATTGCGAACCACGGAAAGGCTACAACGTGTGCAACGCTCTCGAGTCTCTTCCCATGATGTTCCAAATTGCGCGTTACAACATCACGTGTGATTGGTTAAATTATATGGTTTTCATCTTTTATCAATTGGTCAACAAAACTTGACATCTAATTAGTTAAATTTTCTCTAATCTAAACAGCTTATACCTTGAAGTAGAAAATTCATAATTTCTTCTAAAATTTGTTAATTTTGCTAGAACTACTGATGATGAAACAAGCTGACTATATTTAATTTCGTCCCTAATACTTTCTTTTTTTTCCGTGAAGAACAATAGCAAATCCATCCTCCATTTATAAGCTGATGCATTTAATTGATCAACATTACCTGTTATGCTATATTTTCCACCATTAAAATTTATTTTCGTACTTTTTCCTTGTATACTAATGGTCCAGGCTTTATTTTCTTCCTTTTAAGTGATTGAATATCAAGGGCTAAACTTCTTTGAAACTTAAATCACCAGATATCTTATTAGAGGTATGATAATTGCTCAATCACATATTATGCATTTTGCAAGCAAATTGGATGGTAATTTTCTTGAAACCCATATGGAGCGATCAGACGGCTCATCTCTAATTGTGTGAGTTTTTGAGAACAATTGTTTATAACATTTTGATCGTTTCGATATACTACATTAATAGAAATCCCGAATAGATATTATATGATATTTAGACCACGTAAACCAAACTCATCATCAACAACGGTCCAAATGCTAATCTTAATTCATATAGTCTATAGATCATGCGATATCAGCTCGGGAATTCCATATCCCGATATGTGCTTCCTTTTCGTCAACATTGGGTTATATCCTGATGAAAAATATATAGACCCAAGATGTTGGGGGTTTTTCTAAGGTCAAAAAGTAATATCAAACACCTTTTAATCTCTTCCTTTAGACTGAAAAGTTCTCCTTTGTGTTCCTGAAGCAGTCGATTTGCAATTTTTTTTAGGTTCTTCACAACCTGCTTTGGTGGCTGATGAATTGAACAAGAACATTGCTATCAACTGAAGGAAACTGCTCCAACAAAGAAAATGCTTCCACTATGAATGACTCCTTATGTGTTCCCACTTCCCATGTCACGGCAATAAAAATCCCACGATGGCCCAAATGAGAAGGCAGAGTAGAAGAATATGGCGGAAATGAAAGAGTTGAATGCTTGAAATATTCTAGCTGACTGTGGCCCTCTACATGCTTAACAACAAGATAGGCCGCTTAGCAGTCTCTTGTTAGCATTCCAAGTTGCCTGTCTGCGAATCAGAAGCAGAAGGGGTCTTGCTGCGATTAAGATGGCGAGCCCAAGAAACCGAGACTCGACCAGAAGCAAGTGACCGAGACATTTTCACAAAGCTTCAAGGAAGCTGATCTGAAAGGAAATCGCACAGGTCGACAAGCATCTTCAAATAACTTAAATTAGACTCGTTGGGGGCTCAGTGTTTGCTTGAGAACAACAAACCGATGCATGTAAAGCAGAAAAAGAAAATGCTGCCTTCGACAATGGTTCATTTTCCTCTTTTCCTTTGTGATTATGTCAGCTCCAATGTTTGGAAATGAAACTCATTTACCCCATTCATATCATTATCTGACAGTGAGACTTGATACCAAAGGTTTAATAATGCAACGAGAGCTCTTGAAGAATTAATGCGTAGAGTTTATAAGTGAAACCAGTTCTGTTCACCCAGTGACCCAGGACCTGATGATTGCGAGGCTAGCTCAGTAAATTGATCGACAATGTCATCGCTGTGATCCAAACGAACTGAGAAGCTTAGCACAATCAAAGGGGTCTCTCCATCGAAGCATCAGAGCTTGCTCACTTCAAATTTGCGCGCGTGAAATTGTATAGCTTTTGCGTGAGAAGCCGTGTGCGAATGCCATGGATATGAGCTTAAGGGAACAAGTACGTGGTATTTGCTTTTGCCATTGTCAACTTTATGTCCGTGTCTGGTGCAAAAGAGCGAAGTGATTCTGTTTGCCTCCGCATTTTTTCTTCCTCTGGCGTAGCTGGTGCTTTGGAGATAAGGAAGATGCAGCCAATATGAAGGAAAGGATCAGTTCTAAGCTTTTCGGGGGAAAGGGGAAAGGAAGAATCAGATTCAATCTCTGCCCAGCCAGGTCGCACGTAAACTCTTGCGAGCTTGTGGCATAAGTTAAGCGGCGTCAGCAACTTCGCTGACATCGCGGCTTCTTCAGGCACCTCCTCCTCTGCTTGACTGTAGATGGATGCAAGTAAGGCATTTTTCTTAACTCAAAGGGAAATTACGACTTCGCATCTCTGTGATGTCTTCGCTTAATTGTTGATACATAGCTTGAGAAGATGATTGAAATGTCTCCTGAGATACACATGGTACGACTAGAGCAACAGAAGCATCCCCAGGAGTTAGATGGTTTTGGTTCTTCTGACTCTTTTTGCATGATTGCGTCTCCCTCATTTGCTAAACCATGAATTCCAAATTCGGACCTATTCTGTTCTTGGCTGCACGGATCCTTTCATGTTCTGAGCTTCGTTCACTGAAAGTTCACGACTCTTCGATGAGTGCCTTGCACCAAACATACTCACTTCTGTCATCTGTCTGCATAACATATAATCTGAAGGCAGAAGCTCATATAACAACCCCACGAGTTAATGTCTCAGTCCTTGGCAACTCCTCTTTAACAACTGCTCAGTTTTAAACTACGCTGTTTGTCTAAATGATCACCATAGTAACAATGTGCTCCACACTGCACTGTGCTTTAAACTTCGCCCTGTTTGTTGCCAGTCGTTCTTTTTTAATGGTCTAGCAGTGGTAATTCAGCCATTCCAAGCTCTGGATAATCTTCATTCCTGTCTCCAACTGAGAGCAAAATCCTCCTCTCTAGATTTTCCTACCTTTGGCGAAATGTACATACACCATG